TAAATAATCCAGACAGAAAAAAATCAATAAGGAAACATTGAACTTAAACTATGCTTTACACCAAATGGGACTAACAGGCATATTCAGAACATTCTATCTACTGGCAGCAGAATATACATTATTCTCAAGTGTACTTGGAACATTCTCCAGGATAGATTATATGTTAGGTCACAAAACAAGACTTTGCAAATTTTAGGGCTGAAATCATATGAAGTATCTTTTCTGACCATAATAGTACAAAACTAGAAATAAATAACAGGAGAAAAACTGAAAATTTTACATATATGGAAATTAAACAACACACTCCTGAAAACCAATGGGTCAAATATGAAATCAAAGGGAAATTTAAAAATCTGGAAATAAGTGAAAATGAAAACACAACATACTTAAATTTATGGAATTTAGCAAACGCAGTTTTAAAAGACAAATTTATAGCAATAAACACCTACATTAAGGAAAATGGTTTCACAAGTAGATTTTAAAAAAACAAACAAACTCATAGATACAGATAACAGATTGGTGGTTGCCAGATGCAGGGGGTGAAGGGTGGGTAAAATGGGTGAAAGTTGTGTAAAGGTACAAGCTTGAAGTTATAAAATAAATACATCATAGTAACTATAGTTAATACTATACTGTACATTTGAAAGTTACTAAAGAGCAGATCTTTAAAACTCTCATCACAAGAAAAAACATTTGTAACTATATATGGTGATAAATGTTAACTAGACTTATGTGGAGATCATTTCACAATATATACAAATATCGAATTATTGCAGTGTACACCTGAAACTAATAAAATATTATATGTCAATTGAACCTCAATTTAAAAATTAAATTAGCCCTGGCTGGTTTGGCTCAGTAGTTAGAGCGTCTGTCTGTGGACTGAAGGCTCTTGAGTTTGATTCCAGTCAAGAGCTAGTACTTTTTGGTTGCAGGCTCCAGATGAGGGGTCCGTGGGGGAGGCAACCAATCAATGTGTCTTTTTCACACTGTTTCTCTTTCTCTCTCTCTCTCTCTCTCTTTCTCTCTCTCTCCCTTCCACTCTTCCGGAAAAGCAATGGAAAAAATATCCTTGGGTGAGGATTTTAAAATTTATGACTTAATTTAATTAAAAATAAGTGTTTAGGGAGGAAACAAGATGGCGGCATAGGTAACAGCTGCATGCTCTGCCTCCCACACAACATCAAAATTACAACTAAAATACAGAACCACCAGCACTCAGAACCTCCTGAAATCTGGCTGAACAGAAGCCCCACAACCAGGGAGCTGAAGAAGCACCGAGACCAGGAGGAGGGGCAAAGACGCGGGCGGATTGGGCCTGAATCCTGCAGACACGGCCGTGGGCCCACACCCGGTGCCGCGGTTGAAACCTGGGAGGGAATCTCAGCAGTGGGGGTTTCCTGGAGGAGCGAGGGGTCCAGCCCCACAGCAGGCCCCCAGCCCAGGGCTCCAGGGCCGGGAAGAGACGTCCCCACAACTCCGGGCTGTAAAACCAGCCGGGACTGTGGCTGAGGGTCATGGAGGCTGCGGGAGCCCCAGCAGCTCCTCTCAAAGGGCCCGCGCAGGACTCACTCAGACACGCTCCCTCTGAGCCCAGCGCCGGGCAGCAGCCTGAAAGGACCTGGGACACTCGGGGAGGAACTAACCTGCCTGAAATCCAGGTGAGAGGCGGAGGGGCAGCTTCCTCCCAGACAGAAGGGCTGGCAGAGGCCATGGCTCCTTTGGCGAGTCCTCCCCGCATACGGCAGGCAGGCAGACGCCATGTTTGAATCACCAGCACCTGACTCCCACCTTTGGCCCCGCCCAGTGATTCCCG